TTTCTTGCTTCTTAGGTTATAATCACATATATTGCTTATTTATCTTCTGTTTTATTTCCTTTGCAACTCAGGTCATACATCAAAAGCCCAAAAAGACCTTGAATGAAATAACAAATGAACTTTGCCCAGTGAGTGAAACCTATCTTTTTCTAGCTGTCATTTTTTAAAATATCTTAGCTTGCTTCTTTTTCTATGTTCTCTTTTTTTATCATTTAACTTTTGTTTAATGCTTCTTCAGGTTCTCAGCATACAACAATTATACAGGATCAGTACGATGTATTGGGATGACAAATACGGCACACACAGTGTCTCTTCAGATGTAAGTTAAGTTTGGTCGACAATGAGTTGTTGTATCCCTTGGCTTGTTTCTGATTGGGTTTGACAATTGTTTTTTTAGCAACTTTTTTTGTTGACTTTTTTTCCTCTGTAGTGAACTTTAAAAAAAAGAATCATAAACTTTTCATTTTTAGGTTCTACTTGACTAGAGGACTTGAAAAGTAAATTGAAAAAAGGTCACTAAAGACAAAAAAAAAAAACTAAAAAAATTGGCTTCTTTTTTTTAGTGGCTTTTTCGGCTTTCCCCGGTTCACAACCCCCCCCCCCCCCCCCCCCCGCGGGTAAAAAAAAAAAAAAATTTACATTTTAGATCCTTCTAAACTAGATGGAGCTGATAAGTAAAAGTTTTAATTTGAAAAAATTTCACTAAAAACAAAGTTCAGTAAAAATGTGGCTTTTTTAACTGTTGCCAAACATAATGACACTTGACTGGCCATGTTCAATTCTTTATTTTTGTTGCTTTTGTTGTACTCCTTATTTCTTGCAAATTCAAGTTAGAAATACCCTGAGTGGTACAGGTTATTTCGAGTATGAGAGTTATGATGACAGAAGACTCGAACAACGCTGTGAGCAGTTCCTTTTTGTTGGATGACGATTCAAGGTAACCTTTTTTAATTTAAATAACAGTGTTTGATTCTTTTTTGTGTTGATTAATATAGCCCATCACACAACTAATTTATTTTTCAAATAAATATCCATTTGCAGCATTCCCTTTTCTGTGGATGACATATCCAAGTCAATGCAACAAATCGAGATTGTCAACATCGAACCTCCGCCTCTGATTCGAGAAAACTCGGGGTTTGCATTTTTACATCAACGTGCCGATTGAAGACATCATGGTGTCTTAAACTTGAATCCCCCACCTCTGTGCTTTTCAACTCTGCACATCAATGAATGTGCGAAAACCTTGTGCATACAGATTTCACAGCCCTTCACCGCACCCTTGTGTATCATACATATATTTTCCATTTTCCCGCGGCTAGGGATCTTTATTTTGAGTCCAGGTCGGTCCATTCTTTTTTTATTTTTTATTTTTATTTTCTTCTTTTTTAATCCTCGTAGCTTTTCGATACGGGGGACATTCTTTAGGAAGCCGTGTTTTTTTTAATTAGCATGACGACCATATGCGTGTACCGGAACATGCATTTGGTTTCCGGCAACTTGTCACATCGACAAGGAGCGGAGCTTCTACATTTGTTTTTGTTGTTCGGTATCATTTTGATGATGTTGATGGTAGTGATTTGGGGAGTGTAATTAATCAACAGTACCTGCAAATTTTAGGTCAATATATTTGGAGTAGTGTGGAAGCAAAATGTATCCAAAGGGTGATGTAATGTTTTCTTGTTCATTGAGGTCACTGTTCTCTCAATGTATCCTTTGCATTGTAAATTACTTTCTCTGCCATTTGCTTTTGTTTTCTTGAAGATAGCATATGTGTTTTATTGAATTGTATATGCGGTGCACTGTCATCTTCTACATATTATGTGTTTGTGTTTGTCTGTGAGAGAGTTGATTTTAGGATTTCTTTATCAAATTCGCGTGTTAGGAACTTAAATTTTCAAATTTAAGCAGAGTTTTGAACTTGTAAATCAAATCCATGTATTGTGAAGTCGCATGACTTCAATGGAAAGAACTCTTTCTTGAAGTTAAAGCATAACTGCATGAAATTATTTAAATTTAATAAATGGGAAAAATCATAGCAAAATGAAGAGGTCTTTCAAAAAAATTAAATAAAATTGCAATAAAGGACTTTAGAGGGCTTTGTAATGTTATTTATCAGAATTTGTGAGAAGAGTTTGTCATGTGTGGTAGGATTCATCTTACAATTATTTAGATAAGTAATTAGGCATTTTATTAAACCTATAGCTTGTAGGGGAAACAAAAAAAGATTTATGAATGGAATCAAATATATAGTATTTGTAGAAAGAAAGAAAAAAAAGTATTTGGTCATTTTTAGTATAAACGAAGAGAGTCAAACATAAAAACAAAATTACAGTGTTACAAACAAGGCTATTGGTATAAACAAAGCTAGCATAAAAAATATATATCTTTATTAATTTTTTAAGTTGTCTGATGGGATCAATTAACTTCAATACTTATAACTTGACACCGGCCCTTCCCATCACCCCAACAACTCTGCCTAACTCCACCTTTTTGAGAAGATTAATGAAATACAAACATTTTCAAAATGAGGTGACTTCTTATCGTTCCTTCAAATTTACAATAAAAACACTTATCATTGTCTTTATAATTTCACAAACACCGTTGACACATCATTCTCGATGTGTTTTTTTTTACAATTTTTTGTTTGCAAACCTGTTTCCCTTTGAGAATGAACCTAACAAACATTGCATATGTATACATTTAATGAAATCACCTTATCAAAATCCAATTTGTCCAGCTTTCAAACATTTGAACATGACCATCTAAAACAAATTCCAAACTCAGAACTCTCCAACTTTCAAACTTGAGTTCAAAAATATAATGAATATTTCAAAAACATAGTTTCAAATCTCCTATTGCTAAAAACTACTCTGTTAAGACCCACTCAAAGAGGCTGATCATTATCAATAACCTGTAAACAACCATCACACCGCTAGAAGGTTTCTCTAGTTGTATTCTAGACTTGGTGCTAATTGGCAGAATTGACCGGCTTCATTTCCAGTTCTGCTATGTTTTCCTCTTCTACTGAGGGCTGACCTTCCTGGGTTTGTTCAAGCTGCGTCTCTGTTTTCTTCTTCTCCTTTAGGATCACCTGCTTTGGCATCACGTCAAGTAAAAAGCTTCCTCCGTTCCATGTTGTCGCAGAGACCTTGAGTATTTGGAAAATAACACTTAATCTATATGACAAGAATATTGGGACGGTAAGTGCCATGGTTGCTACCGTGAACAATGCTTGAAGCAGAATATACATGAAGAGCCGGTTCTGTTCCCCTAGCAAACCACTTAATCGCCACCACATGTTGTTAGCTTTCTCTGCTTTTTTCGAGAGTTCCCTATTGCACCAAGAAGATTGTCAGGACGGCTGAGAATGATATCGGGATAAAAATGGACAACAAATTAATCAACCAAAGAATGCTTGCAACTGCTAAGGTGTCAGTTTACATAAAACGGGAATGAGTATTTGTTGTTTTTGTTAAAAACATTCAAGGAAAAAAAAAAAAAAAAAAAAAAAAAAAAGATTAAAAAAAAAAAAAAAAACACTTGTTTGGTGTACATGTTTTGAAAACAAACGAACATGTTTGGTGGAGTGGGTAGGTGGCCAGAGGTGGCTACCGGAGTTCACGGGTGACTGGAGGTCACAAGCAGTGCCCGTCCGGTTATCAGTGTCAGCCAAAGGGTGGCCGGAGGTGATGGGCGGAGGGAGGAGGGAGTGAAAACTTGTTTTGAAAATAAGCGAAAGGAACATTTTTTTTTTGTTTTCAAAAATTTTGAAAATCTTGGAATCAATTCTACTATTGAAAATAAAAACAACATACCAAACAAGTTTTCTTTTCCAATTTCAAAAAGCAAAAAAAGAGAAGAAGACGGAAGCGTTACCAAATGTGAAACCGTTTGTTATGAAAAATGGACAAATAAACAAATCATACAACCAACGAATCCTCTGCCAACTGCTAACTTTGAAAAAAAATTGTGTATTTTCAGCGAGATGTCAAGAATGAGAAAATCAGAAAACCTGTACGAAGTCATGACTTCGGGGTCTCTTAACAGCCTCTGCCGACGTAGAACATTTACAACAAAAAAATAGAGAATCTGCCAAAAGGTATAAGCAGCCAGGGGTACCAGAAATAGCCATGTCCACAGGTAAGATTTGCTTTCGACGTAAGGCCATGAAGCTCTCTGAGCAGTTCCCTCGGGATGCATGGCTGCAAAGAATGCCGGATCCCACCATCGAATTGTGAAGAAAACTATCCCTAAAAATGAAAATGACCAAAATGGTTAATTCAGTAAAAGTTGAAATTTTTTTGGGTATGTTGAGTAAATTAGACCAACAAAGTAACAGAAAATATGTGGCAATTAGCTGTTATTTTGGAAAATCCGAACAGTTTGTGATGAAAAGAGAATCATCTAACCAGTGGACAAAATTTTCTTACCATGATCAACTAATTATTGTCTGTTAAATAGGGTGAATTAGGAGCTAAATTATCTTCCACTTGAACTTATACTGGTCTATGTGATATGGGTTCCAATTCCTAACCTTAATACAGTAAAGCAATAGCAGTAGAGGGATGCTGCAACATATCTATTACCTATATAAAAAGAATGTAAGAATGGTGTAACGCTTTGGTGTAACCCTGCTGCTTGTTTGGTTTGTGATACCTTTTTCCTTGCATATTTTGGGTTACCCACATGGGATTCAAATCACCCACGCCGACAATGAAGAAGAAAACAAATTTCACCACTTCGAAGAGCAAACCTCACCACCCCACAGGTGTAACTCGCACTCATGATGCTGGCTGGATTTTGGTTTTCATGCCATGTGTTTCTGCATCAAACATTGAATTTCTCACAAGATATATATATTTTGGATAGAATTGCTATTACACTATTCTTCACATCATTGTCGGCATTGTTGCTGCCGTAACGCTGCCGAAGTTGGTCATCTAAAGCTCTCCTCCAGCCATTGCAAATCCTGGTAGTTACATATGTATTTTGATGCCTATTATTTATATGTCTGTTGCACAATATTTACCCACACTGTTTTCATTCCTAGGTATATGTTAAATAGATGCACACCAAGTGTTTGTCAATATGTCTCAATGAACAAAAAGTTTACCAGCTTGATATGGGTAATTGGATTTTGATAGTCTTTGTCATGGATTGCTTTGATACTTTTTCTATATTATGTGTTTTTGAAATGATTATCCTACGGAATTTACTATTACATATTAAATAAAAGATAAGAGATTTTTATCATTTTGTTTCCTCAGTGGACTGATAAATGAGTTCGTTTGTGGATCCATATGCACTGAAGTCTGTTTTAGATTTACCTACTTCTTTCCATTTAATTTTTCGTTTCGGGTAATTTTAAGTTCATATCATATTGGAATTTGGTGGTTGACCATTTTCTATGGAAAAATTATACTTGAAAAAAACCATTTTTCTTATTTATATGAGAGATTGAGATTTCAGATGTGTCATTGGTTTGGATCAAAATATTCAATGAAGCAAAATGAGTTCATAAAACATTTGAAGAAATTACTACTTTTTTCTCTAACTGCTTGCATACACGATCACTACAGGAAATTACACTTTTTTCTCTAACATAATGATGTGAGCATCCTTTTGGCATCTTTTTGCTTCATATTTTTCCCTGCATTGATTTTCAATTATTAGCTGGTCTTGTTAAGTTTTATAAACATGCAACAACTGAGATGGATGCATGCTAATTTTATGCAATAATTTTTGCTTTCTTTTATTTGTCTATCTAAATTTTCATAACATCAACAATGTACGATGCCAAATGCGATTTAGGAAATTGGCCCACAATACCTAAAATATTGTTCTTTTGCCGTACACGGTGGTATTTGTTATACAAGTACTTTAACTCGCTGCAAAGCGAATGCTTTTCTACATGTTTCCCTATCCCATGTAAATATGGTCTTAAGCACCAACAGGAAGTGGAAAGACAAGACATTTTGAGCTTTGCATTTTGAGGCTGCTCTCAAGGTTCATCTTTGCAGAGGGAAGATTTATTCACTTAAAGGGAACACTCAAAACAGTAGGCTTTCTACGATTTTGTGTATGGAAAAATTTTAGATATGTATTTGAACACTGAAAAGTTCAGAAGATTATTGATTTCACACTACCAAGACACCCACAGATACTCTTTGTTTCATTGACTTTGTATTGTTGATGACTCAGGGGACTTGTTCCTAGAGCATGATTTAGTACGCTACCTATCCTTTCTGCAGAAGTTTGATGCAGTGACTTGGTATCACATTAAAGATGGTGGCTTGAGCTTTTTCAATGATATAGCACTTGTGATGTACAATAATTACTTCTTCACATCAATTTGGATTTATTTGAAAGAATCAAATATTTCATGCATGTGAAATTTTGATCCATATTCTCAAGTGTATTCTGAAATGTTTTTTACTTACCATAAAGAAAGGAATGTTTTTGTGTATATAGTTTCTGTCTACAACAGGGAATTACAACATAACCTAGGGAATTAGAAATTAAAATTAATGGAGTATTTCTTTGAAATAAGTCAATGGTTGTTTGGATATTTAAAGTGACGGACAAGGATATACATACATATAATTACTGTCATTTATTTCATGTCCCGTAATAAAAATATAGTATGTTTATCTGTTGCTCTATACATAATCTTACACAGAAGCTTTGTTCTTGAAAAATTGAAAGCATCCAATTTTGCAATCTGATTTTCAAACAGGATTATAATCATGCAAAACTTGTGTTCATGAAGAGATTTACTTCACCTGTTAAATTTCACTAAATCAACCCACAATGAATTCCATGGCCCCGGTAAAGGTGTTGATTTATCTAATTCTCATGTCAAGGACACTAGGACACGGTTATATTTCATAATTCTTAAGCATTTCTTTTATTTTTTTAAGCTAAACTGAACTTTACAGGCTAAAATATAGTATTTTATGATAAAATGGAAGTCTTATGCATAGTTTATATAGTAAACTTGACTACTTGTACATGTTTGTTGGTGCATGTCCACCTTGACAATTCGGACACAAATTTCATACCCTTACCCGCGTGTCAAGTGTCTGACACAACACAGGTACTTCACATATTCATAACAGTTCATGCAACATATATTAAAAGTTCAAACTGCATATAGCCAACCCTAGTCTACAACTTTTTTTGTGAAAGTATTTAAGCAAGAGAGCAAGTAATTTTTCCCTTTTTCTCCATCCAGCGTTTGCAAAGCTAAGAAGTACAAACACAGATGCTGATACGGGACACGGCAATTTCAAAAAAACGAGGACATGGACACGGTGGAGACACAACAATAAAATATATTTTCATATATTTTTATTTGCTATTTAAATTAAATTACATCCACAAACAATCAATATTAACAAAAACTAACTCTAATTTTTTATTTTATTTTAAAAAACACTTTTAAATCAACACAGTTCATATATTTTTTTACAAATGATCTATTAAGTATTTAAATCTAATAAAAAAATAATAAACATTCAACATTCATCAAATACACTAAATAAAATAGAAGCAAAGATAACTTGGCATGTCCCTGGCGTATCCCTTGAAAATAAATTAATTAAATAAGGGGACACACCATGTAGTGTGTCCCCAAAGTGTCTCGGTGTCCAAACGGATACGGTACTTGTTTTGAAGTATCAGTGCTTTATAGTTGCGAAGGCAAGAAAAGTTCTAAATAACTGAAAGAAGGAAGAAAAAAAAAAAAAACTCTATTCTGATAAGTCAAAACCAATATTAAAACTAACGCTGCAATTATGAATTGTCCAAGAGGGCAAGAAGCGAAGTAAGGTAAGTGAGAAGTGCAATGGTTTTTTTTCATTTTTAGAAATAAATTTTTATCAGCATCCTACTATCGGGCAAAAAAGGAGGATCAACTCACCAGGTAAAAGATGGATGAGGACGCTTACAAGTTTGTCGACAGAACTAAAAACTAAGCTACAACGCCAAACGATTAATGCCCATGCCAATGGCCCCTGCATCCATATTCAACAAATTGAAAATGTAAAGAAAGTAAATTGTACAGCCATTGAGATGCTGCAAACATAAATTTGGAACTATTTACATACCTCGGCAAATGAGAAACAAACCATGAAAAGCTTTTCATTTTTCGGATAGAACAGAAGCATGATCAAGAAGATAGTATTGGCATAGTAGCAAAAATCCTGCAAAAAAGAAGATTAATTTCGTGATTTTTGGCCACTTCTCATCTAAATGACTTCGGAGAAAAAATGCCAAGAATAATAGTGATTGTAAAACCTTGGAGTTAATGCGAATTAAAAATAACTTCATTACTACTAGAGTTATGTGTGTACATTGAGAAGTAAAACTAAACGTTAGAAGTATTTCTATTTCTATCGGGCATACTTTTCCATGCATATTCTCATTCAGTCCAATTTTATGTATGCTTAGTCAAAAGAAGACATTACTAATACTATGTACCTTTAAAATAAAAGAGAAAAAAAAAGGAGGAGGGGGGGGGGAGGGAAGTGAAAAAAATAAAATAAAGATTCCAATCTAAAAAAGCTTATTCAACCAAACACTAGAAACTCAATCCTGCTCATAAAATAACAATACGACTAAACACGATAAAGTTAATTAACTACCATAAGCTTAATTACTATGACTAAGGAACATGGTTTTAAATAACGGTATTAGATACGTACCGGTATCAGTAATATGGTCATATATCAGCCCATATTAGATAATATTAGTCTATATATCAGTGAATATTAGTATCAGAAATTCAAAATCCCATGTACATATCGGCTAATATTTAAAACCCTGCTAGGCTATAAAAATTATCAATGTAAACAAGTAAAAAGACAAATGTACATATGGAGATATGTTAGAGCTTACCAAAAGATAATAATGCCATTTCTTGAACCGGTAATAAATCCATCGAAGAGGAACGAAAATGAAATAGAACAAACAGTATACGTAGGGAATATCTTGGGGTCCTGATTGGTAGAAATCAAACCAAGAAACAAACAAATCAACAGAAAATAAGAACACATAGGGGGTTTTTCATTCTGATTTATCATTTGATTCCACAAGTCAGGATATTGAACTCACTTGCACCCAAAATAAAGCAAAATGCTCCAAACCCAAGAACACCACAGAAATGAGTCACCTATACACACAACAACAAAAATCCAACATCAATACTAAGGCTGTGTTTGGTTCACTTAAATATGGGTGGAATTGATCATTCCATCAGAATATAAAATATTTTTTAAAAAAATGCATTATAAATGGAATCTATCATACATTATTGCAAATAAATGGAGGAATGATCATTTCAGTGAATCAAACACTACCTAAACATGAGAAATAAATAACCCATCAATTTAATCATGCATGGACAACTTATTATACAAGAATGTTTATATAAATACACACAAAATACAGAACAATTATGTGTTTGTGTGTGTGTGTAAATACCTTGTTGATGAATCGTTCATGTTCTTCAGCCTGATGAGCGATCTTAACGGCCTGTTTAGACAAGATCTCCTTCGACTTAACGGCCTGTTTGGACAAGATCTCCTTGGATTTAACCGCTTGTTTCGACAACATGTCTTTCGTTTGGGCCACTTTCTGCAAAACCCAGATCGAAAAAACAATCAAAACAGTCAAAATCTTCAAATTCGATCTAAAAAAAATAACAAAATACAGATTTATCACACCTTAGATCGGTCTATGAGGCTCTGCTTCATCTTCTCGAACGGATCCCCATTCGCATCGTCGATAGTCTCTTCGTTGATTGACATTTCTCTGTTCTGAGACCCCTTGTTCTAGAGAGAGAATATCAATAAAGCTAGAGAGAAAAACAGAGGAAGAAGAAGAAGAAGAAGAAGAAGAGGAAGCGGAAGGGAGAGGAAAGGTGGTCACGATTCGCTTCAAATATGTGTTTGTGCCTCTCTCTCTCTCTCTCTCTCTCTCTCTACCTCCACAAATGCATTAGTTTAGTTCATTAGTTTAGTTTAATGCTAAGTACCTATGATTCGTATGTCAGTGTTTGTGATTAATTAAACAGCTTCTTGGAATAATTTAGGGTTAGTTGAGCATCTCCCATGCTCATTTAAAATTTTCATTAAATTTGAATTGGATTAATTTTTTTTCCCCTATTTTAACGGTTTCATCAAATAAATATTAAATCGAACATTTCACTTTTCTTTTATTAAACTAAATATTAAGAGCATCTTCAACAGTTCAGTATTTTTATTTATTTATCAAATTTGAGTAAAAAAATGACGATTTTCTCAATCTAATATGAGTTGTTCCAACGGGTGCAGTGTAACTTGCATTAAAAAATAGGAATAACTGGTCGACCCACCAGACAAGGTTTTTTTTCTCCATGAGCAAGCTCTCATCGCTGCGTCATATGTTAGTCTTGGTGGTCGACCCCCCAGTATAAAATTTTCACAAATTTTTGTTTTAAAGCGGTCATCTGGTGGGACATTCGCCCGGTCGTCCGATAGGTCCAACTCAATGGCTATGCATAGTGAATTGATGAAAGGGGCAAGTCATCCTCAGTTTAGTGAAACATTTGATGTTTTTTCAATTTGATACTATTTTGATGCAACCGTTGGAGCACAAAAAGCACATCTTTTTCATCAAATTTGAATTTGATGTTGAATTTGGTGAACGATTGGAGATAGTCTTGTACTAATGTGTCTTTCATCAAATCATTATTCATTATTGTTACCGGATGACTAGTCATCTACTCGATCAACTGGTGATTTGATAAAACTCCAAAATCTTTCGTTAAAACATTTACTATCAAAAAGAAACTTTTATTCAAATTTAATTAAAAAAATAAAATAAATCCGCCGTTGAAAATTGCCTTACACCTCTCAACTATTGCTAATATCACTTTACTCCATGAAGGGACTAAATTATGAAAATTATACATATATACCATTTCTGGATATGTTTCATAGGAGTGGAAATTCAGCGTAACAGTGACGATACCAATAATGTGACATCATCATCACATAATAAAGTTATATGATATACAGAGAGTAAACTATTGCTAATATCACTTTTTCTTTTTCTTTTAATTTCTTTTAATTTCAAGGCAAACGCAAAGTATATTTATTTTTTAAATTATTCAGGTCATAAATTTAAATTTATTTAATTGGGTAAATTACATTTACCTCCCCTGAGGTTTCTGACAAATACGGGGACCTCCCCTGTGGTTTGAATAATTACAGTAACCTCCCTCACTTTACCTGACAATGTCAAGATTCTCCCAAATCGTGACTGCTGTTAAAAGATCTAACAGAGAGTGCTGATGTCACTCATTATAAATTATGAAATGTCAAAAATACCCTCATTACCTTCTAATCCATCCAAGTTCTACAACTTTACTCCCTTCTAATTTACCTTCTACTCCTGCAGCACCATTGCAGCACCTGCTACAAAATCAAAAATATACATAAAGGTATATATATGTAAGATCTCACCCCCTTTCTTTTCTTTTTTTTTTAGATTAAAATATATATGTAATCCATTACATAAATGATATATATATGAGATTATATGTAAGGTATATATATGAGATTAAAATATACATAAACGCTGAGGTATATATATGTAAGAACCCACCATTGCAGCAACCCATTCAATTCTCTGTTTTTTTTTTTTATTCAATCAAACATATATATATATATATATATATTACATAAATGACCAAACCCACCACACAAATCTATTAAACAACTCACCCCCTTTCTGTCCTCCTCTTTCTCCTGCTCCTCTTCTTCTTCTTTTTTCTGATCGAAACCCATATTTCAACCAACTGCCCCAAACCTAGATTGTGACCCAACATTGTTTCCATCACTGCCTACCATCACTCTCAAAACCACAGATCTAGGATTAGGGTTTTTGAAAGAAGAAGAAGAAGAAGAGGAAGAGAAGAAAAGCAGACGGCAAACGGTAGAGGAGAGGGAGTGGAGGAAGAAAAAGGAGAAAGAGGAAAGGCGGAGGTGGATGATATCGACTGAAAGGAGAAGAGAAAGAAGATGCCCCAATGGCGCCGGCGAAGAGGAGCTTCTCTCTCGTTTTGATCTGACGAGAGAGAACAAAAACGAAAAACAAATTTAAAAAAAAAAATTGAATATGGTGGAGAGATGGTTAACAATCAAGGGTATTTTTGTCTTTTCGCACTTAAATAAAAGGGTAATATGGTCATTTTGTATAGGAAAGTAACGTTGTTTGTGCAAAATTGACGGTTTGGGAGAATCTTGAAATTGTCAAGTAAAGTAGGGGAGGTTACTGTAATTATTCAAACCACAGGAGAGGTCCCTATATTTGTCAGAAATCTCATGGAAGGTAAATGTAATTTACCCTATTTTTTTTACGTTTAATTGTCTAAATTCTATTGTTTTCTGTTTAGAATATTACTTTTATTTATTTATTTACATGTTCACCTATCTATTTATGAGTTTATTTATTTGTTACTGATGATTGCTGGTAACGACGAATTTTTTGATAAACTGCTGGCAATATTGGGCGGTGGCTAGTAGCTGTGGCGGAAGTAGAGGTGGATGGCGTTTTAATGATATATATTGTGTGAGAATAAAAAAAGAAAACAGAAACAGAAAAAAAAAAACTTTAAAACAATAATTTGTACTTCTCACAAATATATTTCATTAATCAGATACTTATAACAAAAATACATCAATAATTAAATCAAACATCATATACACTCATAAAAATGAACTTTTTACCCGTCTTTGTTATTTTTAATAGTGTCATTGTACTCTAGTATTTTTTCTTCGATTAGTCTGATCGGAAGTGATTGAGACCCTTACAAGGGATCCACCAAGGATCTTCTAGAGTGAAATTTTCCTAAAGTTTCCTAGAGTGCTACATTGTATGGTTGAGATTTACTGGCAAGTCACCTCAGAAAAATTGATGTGACTTGTCAATAAATCTCAACCACACAATGTAGCACTCTAGGAAACTTTAGGGAAAAATCACTCTAGAGGATCCTTGCTCCAAGGGATCACCCCCACAACTCCTACAGGCCTGTGATTGGCCAATTTTTTTTTTTTTTTTCCTCCAATCACCAACCCCGCATGTGTGTGGGGTGGGGGTGAGGGGGTCCGGATCATTTTCATTTGAAAAACTGTCAGGTGACCTGGGACAAATGCATATACTGACAAATTTTTTTATAGAAGAAAAATATGAATTACAACATTAATTTTCACCCAAAAAAAAATAAAAAATAACATGAAAACATATATAATAAATCTAATTTCTTATATTCACGTTGTTGAGTTATAAAAAGTAGCCATTATATTAATCTACTAAAATTTAATCATGCTTAACGATCTTTTATGTTATTGAAGACAGTAATGATTTAATCTAATTAAAATCTGGGGTGAATTATAAACGACAATGCTACGTATCTCAAATTTTGTGACTCAAAAGGCCAAAACGACGTCGTTTTGAGTACAAAACAACATAAAAATGGCCAAAACGATGTCGTTTTGGCCATTTGAGCCACTTTTGAACTACAAAATTTGAGCTACGAGACATTTTCCAATTATAAATACATTTCATGAGATTTGATTAAAATCTGAATCGCCCCCTTTGGTTATAAAAATTATATTTCACTCTCTAAGATTTCTAATTTTATAACAAATCGCCCATTTTATTAATACATTATCAAGTTAATTAATAGTTTTTAATGATCTCAGAAATATGTTTCAATTAATAATTTAGGTAATTTTATTGTTGCATAGGAGAGAAATTATAAATTATATTTTTTTAGTTAATTCTGTTAAATAAAAAATTCTAATAAGAGGGGTATTTGTAATTTTTCAAACCATAAGAGGCATTCTATATTTTAACCAATCTCAAAAGATATATTTGTAATTTACCCTAAAATCTCAAATAATATTATTTTTAATAAACGTAATCCAATAACTTGTTGAATTCTCTTTCACATTCTTGTTCTCTTTGGTGAAGCTCTGGAAAGTTAGTTCCAGAGCTTCATTTGAATATAATGTTTGTTTAGGATTTTCAATAATTAATTTCACATTCACTTTTAAAAACGTGGTCGGAGGCGAGAAAAATTTGGGCTACTAGTCGTCTTACCGGATGTCCCACCGGTCGTCCGGCCGATTGACCGAAACAATGCAATTATTATTATTATTTTTTTTTGTAATTGACACGTGTTAATTTTTATATATTTAATAAAAAATATTTTCTGAATTTTTAAATATTTTTATGAGTTTTAATAGAATTTTGAGTTGTGTGTTTGGTTATGAGTTGTAAGTTTTTGTATCAAATATCATATATCACATCAAAAATTTTCAACTCAATTCAAAACTTATTCACCAAACAAATTTTCTACACTCAAATCATAATTCTAAAACTCACAAACTCAAAATACAACTCTATTATCAAATCATATTAGAAAACTCTACTATACGCAACCTAACTTATTTTGGTGTAATTTGTCCTAAATTTTTAATTTCATGCTTCTACAATTAAATTGTTTCAAGAACTTAAAGATTGACCACTTTGAAAAATCTAAAAATTTTAGAGATATTGATTTGTAATTATGTATTAATTTTAAGCAGTAAGTAACAATTTTAATCAAACAATCAAGACAAATCGACACAGTGATTTTAATGTGAAAAAATTACAATTGGAGCACCTTTAGTTGTGATAAAAAATCACGGACCAAAGCCACAAAACAATCCACGAAGAAGATACAAAGGAATTACACAAGTGTACTCTCAATTACCTAGCGAATCCAAGCTCGAATCGAACTGACCCCTATATGCCTCTTCCAGCCCCATCATCACCTTAGAATTGTCTTGCCTAATGTTGAATCCATAACGTCGATGTCGAATCCACGACGATGAACGATTCCGAAATCCACCAAAGTTTCAGGCATAAATTCCACAGAATCCACTGAAGAACAACTCTATCATTTTTTAA